ATCGAGGCTCGTCGTTTAGCGGACGTCACCTGTCCTTAGGTCTTGTCCCTTTCATCCTATCGCTTTCACCAAGTCTTTGTTGAACGTCGCTTTCCGCACGTCGTTGTCGCGGGGTTCGGGCTCGGCTTGGCTGGCCGAGCCGAGCAGGAAGGACGAGCGGAGCGCAGAGCCGGGCAGCAGGACGAGTGGAGCTCTGAGCCGAGCAGGAGGGACGAGCGGAGCGCAGGGCCGTGCAGGACGAGTGGAGCTCTGAGCCGAGCAGAAGGGACGAGCGGAGCGCAGAGCCGGGCAGCAGGACGAGTGGAGCCCTGAGCCGAGCAGAAGGGACGAGCGGAGCGCAGAGCCGGGCAGCAGGACGAGTGGAGCTCTGAGCCGAGCAGAAGGGACGAGTGGAGCTCTGGGCCGGGCAGGAACGTCCAAGCCCGATGTCAGCCCTAGTGCTGGCGTGAGGTTATTCCCCATCAGTATATATAGATATTAATGGTCGAAGTGCAATATTGAAGATCGTGAAAAGACGAATGAGAAGAACATTCTGTTGAAGACCGTGAAAAGACGAGTGAGAAGAACATTCTGAGACAAGAAGTATAGAATTGGTAGTTTTCTAATTTTGCATCGTTTAAATTAATCTTGATTGTTAAAACTTTTGAAGCCAAAAATTAAAGAATTGAGAGCTCCCAACAAAAACAAATTCTCTTCATCATATTATCAGCCATTAAAGCCCAGCTTGTAAGGGCCAAAATTATCAATTTAGAGGCCTAAAAATGCAAACCTTGATAAAATCTCAAGATCAATAGGACTTTGTTTATTGGTTTATTATTTACTTGATTTTTGGATTGTTCATATTGGTTGAAATGTACATTTAAAACCGATATAGAATAAAAAGTGGAGAAATACTCCGTCTCAAGTTTGATTACAAATTATACGATACAATTGTATGTATCTTTCTCTTCGTACATCATGCCAAAATTATAATTTAAAACATAATTTAGGATGAATACTATATTTTTCAAGATAAATATGTTTCAGAATGAACATTTTATTGAGCAAGTTTCAGAATGAGCACTACGATTAAAAATGAATATTCTGCTAATTTAATATGAATATTCTGCTGATTCAAAATGAATATACATTCAAACAAGCTGCCCGGTTGTATGGTACGCGGTGGGTTTAGTACGCCTCACCAAAATTGCCCGAAACTAACCCGAAACTAACAAAAAGGTGCATGTTGCACTTACTTTTTCGTTCATCAACTAGAAATAAGTCAAACTAGCCATTACAGCAAGACGTGAAAACACAAGATCCCACTCCGACTTTGATATGTGTCGGGTGTATATAACTTTAGATACAACTGGGTGTACGATATACATTCTCGAGTTCCATCAATCCAGTAAAGAAGTCCACACGAAGTCAAATGTTCCCAAATATTGAAAAAGAATGAATTGGGCTGAAAATGGAAGTGAAACTAAGCTTTGGGCTTTATTATGTTGCTGACTTAAGAGGTTTGGGCCAGGGAGTGGGGTCGGTATTGGGACGGACGACAAAATCCCGGCCTGGGTTTTCATTTTCGCCGACCGTTTCAATTTCCAGAATCCACCGCACACTTCTCGCTTTCGGTCGGAGGAGGGTTCCGGCCGGCGAGAGCTCCATAAACGTCGGCGGAGCTTCTCATTTCCGGTCGGACAGCAGTCTCAGCCACTTCGAACACTACCTGTAATTCACCATTAAATCCTGCATCTTAATTTCTACTATTAATATTGTTCACTCAACTTTTTTCTCTATCAACTTGCTTATATCATTTCCCCTCAATGTCTACTCGTGTGTCTTTAATTTGTTTGATGCTTACCTTCCTTTGTCGTTTGTGATTATAATTTTCGCTGCCTACTTGTTCGTGTGCACCAAACTTGGTTTGGTATTGGATCAAGTTCTAAATCACCGGGGAATTGGGATTAAGAACATTAGCGAGTTGTTTCTCACTCTCAAGTTCCTTTTCATGGAAATCAATATGGAAATTTAGGAGTCTTGTGTATTTTGATATTGTCATTTAGATCACCACTCACCTTGGAAATGGAATCGGAGACTTTGCTCGCCTCACTACCTAGTTTGTATCTTAAATAATTCCCCTATATCTTTAAGCATTTCATCGAACACTTAGCACACCCTACATTCACTCTTATAGTGGGTCAATTCGTGTTTAATTAAGTATTTATTTAACTACATATAGCTATCCTTTGTAAAAAATGCTTACCACTACTACTGATTCAAAAAGACACATAAGAGAGGCTGAAGCTATCAAGATTTTCTGAAAGGACAAGATTAATAGCATGAAAAGGTATGATGGAAATGTTGAAAGTGGAATGGTTGTTAGGTTTTGAAAACCTTCACATCAAAATTTAATCATGGTGTTGTTGATGAATTAAAGGACATACCTAGCTACTTATACATTCGATGAATTAATGAGTTCGATGCTGGCTCATGAAGATGGTTTTAGTAGGTTTAGTGAGAAAGTGAAGGAGAAATCTTTTCAGGTTAAGGGAGTCTTTTGAAAAGGGGAAGGTAAAACTTTTTGCTATAATAACGGGCTTCGAAACAAAAGTAAAGTTCAATGCTATTATTGCAAGAAGTATGGACATAAGGAAGAAGAATCTTAGAACAAGCAAAAGGGTGAGGGAAATGCTAACTTTTCGGAGGGCGAAGAGAAAAGTAAGTTTTTTACGACTCATTCAACTCATATTTTTGACACTGGAAGTGTGTGGTTTGTGGATAGCCCAATTATCTTTCATATATGATATGCTCTCTATGTCCCCCGAGATTAATGAAAGTTTCTCCTTAGCATGGTATTGTTTAACAAGACCTATGAATATGGGTTTAGTAGGTCTAGTGAGAAAGTGAATGAGAAATCTTTTCAGGTTAAGGGAGTCTTTTGAAAAGGGGAAGGTAGAACTTTTTGCTATGATAACGAGATCCAAAACCAAAGTAAACGATGCTATTATTGCAAGAAGTATGGACATAAGGAAGGAGAATCATAGAACACGCAAAAGGTTTAGGAAAAGGCCGACTTTTCTAAGGTAGAAGAGGAAAGTAAGTTCTTTATGACTCATTCAATTAGTATTTCTATCATTGTAAGTGTGTAGTTTGTGGATAGCCCATTTATATTTCATATATGATATACTCTCTTTGTCCCCCGAGATTAATAAAACTTTCTCCTTAGTATGGTCTTGCCTAAAATGGTCTATGGTTTTCTCTCAATTTGGGTATCGTGTTTCCACATATAATTACTTAATTTAGCTTCATTTTATGTACTCCGTATTTTTTTGGGATCTTATTTTCGATGCGATGTTTACTTGATATTGAGTGCATCCGGTCGGCATCCACTATATTAAAATCCATCGTGTGTGTGTGTTTGTTTAAGCTCATTTCGTCCCGAAAAACATTTCCACATTTAAGAAAATTGATATTTATGGTAGGTGTAATTTGGGTGATATTTTTTCCATTTTACCCTTGTGGAAATATGATGTGGTTAGTAGATTAATAAGGAACATGTATGATGCGATCGATAGATTAATAGTTAATAGACGTAAATAGTTGATTTAAATTGAAAGAGAAAGTATTTTTTAGAATAGATGAAAAAGAAAAGGAGAAAATATTTGGTGGGACGAAAATAGTATATGTTGTACTCCTATATGATACCATTAATTGAATTTTAGAAATATGAAATTTGAAACCATTGAAATAATGAAATATATATAGACCATTAATTGGAAAAGTTTTGACTCGCCTTTCAGCGCCCTCCGTTTTGTTCGTGGTAACAAGGGAGGAGAAAGTTTGAAGGGTCAATGAAACACCAAGAAATCAAAAACATATAAAAAGGACAAAGAACATTAAAAAACAAGAGTTAAGGTTCTCATTGTTCTAAGAGGAGAAGAAAGAGCTGAGGATACATCATTTTCTTCTCTTCTTCTCCATCAATAAATAATAATAACACATTTCCTGCATGCATATTATTGTTGTTTTCCCATGCATGCATTGAAAAACTGCCTTTAATTTATCATCTTAGTTTTGTTTCATTGAAAAACTGCCTATAAACAAATATAATTACAATTATGGCTCCGAGTAAATTGAGAAAAGCCATAGGAGCGGTGAAGGACCAGACAAGCATAAGCCTGGCCAAAGTAGGCGGCAGCGCCTCCCTGTCAGAGCTCGAGATCGCCATCGTCAAGGCCACCCGGCACGAGGAATATCCGCCGGAGGAGAAGCACATAAGAGAGATTCTTTGCCTCACGTGCTACTCACGCGCCTATGTGGGCGCATGTGTCGGCACCTTATCACGCCGCCTCAGCAAGACAAAGAACTGGGTGGTGGCGCTCAAGTCGCTCATGGTCATCCACCGCCTGCTGACCGACGGCGACCAGTCATACGAGCAGGAGTTCTTCTTCGCCACCCGGTGCGGGACCCGCCTCCTCAACATGTCCGACTTCCGCGACTCCCGGTCCAACTCGTGGGACTTCTCGGCGTTCGTGAGGACGTACTCGCTCTACCTCGACGAGCAGCTCGAGTTCCGGATGCAGACCCGCCGTGGGAAACACGGCGGTGCGTTCACGTACGAGGAAGACAGGGAAGAGGGCGAGGAGGTGGGGCCCGACGCCATTGTTGTGAGAAGCTCCCATGCTGAAATGAAGAACGAGCATCTGTTTTCAAGAACGCAGCATTGCATGCAAATTCTTGATCGTTTCTTAGCTTGCAGACCTACAGGTATGTGGCTTCTCTACGTTCTCGCATTTCTTTCTTTCAAAATGGATTTATAATTTTGATCTGCAGGGGCTGCAAAGAGAAACAGGCTCGTGTTTGTGGCCATGTATCAGATAGTAAGGGAAAGCTTCCAAATATATTACGCCATGGCAGAAATATTCGGCATCTTGGTGGACCGGTTCATGAAGCTTGATATCCCCGATGCCAGAAGAGTCTACGAGATCTTCTACCGTGTGTCGAAGCAGTACGATGAGCTCGAGATGTTCTACGAGTGGAGCAAAGCGGCGGGGATTTCGCGGTTATCTGACTACCCGGACATGGAGAATTACCCAAAGAAGAAACTCGACATTATGGAAGAGATTATCCGGGAGAAGACGGAAATGGCGAGGGGGAGAAAAATGAAGAGCCCAGAGCCAGAACCAGAGCCGGAACCGGAAGAGGACATGAATACGACAAAGGCATTGCCGGCGCCTCCGGAGGATCAGGAAGAGGTGTTAGAAGAGAAGAAAGAGGAGGAGCCAAAAGAGGAGGAGATGAAGGGACAAGACATAGGAGATCTTTTGAACTTGGGAGAAGATGCACCCACATCAGAAGAACATGCAAACCAATTGGCATTGGCTTTATTTGACGGTGCTCCGACAACAGCTCCGGCGACTACAACAATGACGGTGACTCCATGGGAAGCGTTCACCGGTAACGGAGATTGGGAAACCGCTCTTGTTCAATCTGCTAGCCACTTGTCAACCCAAAAGGTACTATCATGACCCCCAGACCTTTACACTATGTTTGGTTGAAAGAATTTAAAAGGGAAAAGAAAAGAAAATGTGCTGGAAAGTACTTTTTCTTGTTTGGTTAAAGAGGAAAAAAAAAGAAAAGTGAAAGAAAAAGAAAATGAGAAGGCAAAATGTACTAAGTGGAGGGAAAACCAAATTCCTCCTTTTTTGGTGAGGAAAATGAGAGAAAAATCGTTTTATTTTCTTTTTCTTACAAATTCCTTCAATCAAACATAGTGTTGAGAGTACCAGATTTGATACTATGACACTAGTGGCCAATGTCAACTTTTTGGCATGAATTAACAGGTACAACTTCCGGGCGGCTTCGATCAATTAACGCTGGACGGAATGTACCAACAGGGAGTGCTAAACCAGGCAATAACCTCCTCCAGAGTCGTAGCGACGGGTAGCGCGAGTAGCGTCGCGTTCGGATCCGCCGGAAAGCCAGCAATGTTGGCACTCCCTGCGCCGCCCTCGGCCAGCGGAGCGGCAAGCATGGCGCCGGGAGCCGACCCTTTCACGGCATCGCTGTCAGTCCCACCACCGACATACGTGCAGATGTCGGAGATAGACAAGAAGCAGAGACTGTTGTTAGAAGAGCAGCAAATGTGGCAACAATATGCAAGAAATGGGATGCAGGGACAAGTAGGATTAGAGAAAGCCCATCAAACGCCTCAGCCTTTTAATTACTATGGCTACTAGTGACTACTTTTTGACCTGTACATTTAGAAGCCTTTTTGGTGTGTTTGGCAGTCCAATATATTATATGTGACAGTTTCTGTTTTTTTTTTCACCTAAAGAAAGATTTGTAGATTTACGAAGTAAGAATGTTAAAGCACATATATTCAAAGGATGGCAAGCAAACAAGAAGAAAAATGGTTAATTAGGTGTTACCTTAAACGTGATTAAACTTGTTTATGTTCCTAGAGAAAGATTTTCATGTTTAGAAACCAATCAGATTACATGAAAGAGAGACAATGCCATTTTTTTTCTTTTGTAAAAGTACAAGTCTACAATACAATAACAGAAATTAATATCCTGATATTTATTTGAAACTCAATGCATATATGCATAAAATATACTCCCTTAGTCTCAATTTATAGCGCCTGTTTCGGTTTACGATGTTTGATTGAAATTATTTTCAAATCATTTTATATGACAAATGGTATAAAGTTAAAAAAATAAAAATTACACATCAAAATACTACATCAAAAGATTTACTACAAAACTAGTAGGGACCATAATACTTTATTTTACCAAATTGCTAATGAAAATAGAGAAAGAAAATGAATGAATTTGACCCTGTGAATTGTGAACATGCACTATAAATTGGGACGGAGGGAGTAGTAATTTGAGGATATATCCATCCAAAGTCAATTTAAATTATGGCATTTTTTTTATTTTACATACAAAATTTAAATTTTAGAGGGAAAAATATAAGTTCCGTGACTAAAAAGGGAGAATTATAGTATCATTTTAGGCCAAAAGAAGCCAAAACCCCAAAAATTTTTGAAGCCTAGTTTGCAATGAAAAGTAAAAGATGTATGGTGAAACATAAAAAAAAATGTGTATGAAATTTATTCAGAAGAGAGTGAAATAAAAATAAAACTGTCGATATATTTATTAAAAAAGGGTTAAAAACTAAAAAGTGTACTGTTACCATGCACCGATTATTATTTTGACATTCAAAGATTTAAAAATATGTAAAGTTCTAATTTCATTATAAAATATGTAAAGTTCTAATTTCATTATAAAATATTTGTACTACGCATTACATTGAGTTGGTTGGTGGCACATCCCCTCACCAGAGCTAAGCTTACCCCAAATATTAATATTCCAAACCGTCTCTCGTCTACATCACTATTTAATATGAACCCTCTTGTGACATTATAAATGTAATGGAGCAAGTGTAATGTAATTTAGAAATGTGTAAGTTGTGTAAATTGGCCGGTTGGCATTGCGCAGTTGCCAAAGGTAAAGAGTGTTAAGGGTGAGACTCAAGTTCAATTCTTGACAACTGTGCTAAAAAACAACCTTATATGCTAAACATATGATATCTGCATTTACCAGGTGCAGAGTCTATTTTCTGTCACTAGGTGCAAAGTTTCAAGTAGATATATTCGTGGAGGCGTGGACACCAAAATTATGCCGTATAGGTTTTATTCAATGTAGGTTCTTTGATAAACCCAATTTTTTTTAAAAAAAGAGTCACATCCCCGAGGATGCCCTCAGAACTGATATTAACCTAATTTTCATGAAAGAAATGAAAACATTCTCAAATAAATAATAATTTATTCTATGAATATTAATGTTTTCATTATTTATTTATCAATTTACTTATGTGAAAATGTTCATAATAAATCATAAAATAGAAATATATTTTTATTTTTATTAAAATGTTTGTTTGTCACAAAATATGGGATACTAGAAAGTCAAACATTGTACATTAACAATATAACAAATAATGTGTTATATTACCGAAGTGTGGAATGAATACTTCAAGAAAAGATTATATGTTTAACAAAATAAATTTAATTAATGAGCATCTAGTCCAACAAAAGAGAGAGGGAGACATGATTATCTTGAACCTTGAGTAAATATTTGTTCAACGAATCTAAAGATAATCGAATCTAAAATGACCTATATACAAATGTTGAGAAAACTAGCTAGATGGCGTAAGACTAGATGGTCATGAGGCAGTTCTTTTCTGAAAAGGACCCGAGGCGCGGCATGAGGCACTTCTTTTCTGAAAAGGACCCGAGGCGCGGCATAAGGCGGGATTTAGCCTCGCCATTTCAAATAAAGTCTGCTACGTATGAAATGTGAACCCACTCTCCAAAAATCCTCTCTCTCCAATGTACATTATTTTATATGAGATTATAAATGAGTACAACGTTATATAGGCAAAAAGGCAAGTACTCTACACCACTCATAAGAATACAAAGACTAAATATAAATTGACAGAGTATGGCCATAAATATGTTCCATTTATTTATTTCAATTTCTACCCACTACACAATACGGAGTATAATATATATGTGTCCAGACGTTATACTGGCAATGAGCTAGCTTGCTATAAATAAACTCACTATATAATATCTCTCTCAAATAAATTTTATTAATTATTTTTATATCAATTTTTGAATAAATTAATTTTAAAATTAATTTGGGACTGAGTGAGTATTATTTTAACATATACATTCCCAAGAAAGCCTTCACACATTATTATAAATATAAAATAATTTGTACTCCAAGAATTTGTACCCTGTTTTGTACACCGCATGCATGTACTAACATTTTGTATTGGTGTAATGCTAATTTTTGTTAACACACTAACTTTTTGTATCAGAATAAATTTTTGTAAACACACTAGAATTTTGTGTCAGTGTGAACAATCAAAATGTCAATTAGTGCATACCTTTGTTGTAGGTACAAATTTTGGATTACATGTATGATGTTCCTTATTATAAATATATATTATACCCCAAATTAATCCAAATAGTGATATTCTTCTATAGAGGCAATTGCAAAGATGATAGGTGCAGTTTTTTTGGTCCTCATCGTGACCATGACCAAATTGGCCGGCGGCGGGGCGCAGCTGAAGGTGGGCTTCTACGACGAGACATGCCCCAACTTCGAGTCCATCGTCGGCGGCGTGATCCGGGACGTCGCCGCGACGAACCCCAACATTTCCCCCGCCCTGCTCCGCCTCCACTTCCACGACTGCTTCGTCCACGGGTGCGACGGGTCGATACTGGTGGATAACGGGGCGGCGTCGGAGAGGCACGCGTTTGGGCACCAGGGGGTCGGCGGATTTGAGGTGATTGAGAGGGCCAAGGCGGAGGTGGAGGCCGTCTGCCCCGGCGTTGTTTCTTGTGCCGATATTGTCGCCCTGGCCGCCCGAGAAGCCGTCGTCTTGGTAAGTCTTTATTTGTCCCACTTTTTGACACTCTTTTGAGAATTGTTTGGGAGCCTAACAATGTTTAGTTGGGTTCCGAGCTAAACATAATTGGGTTCCGAACTAAACATTGTTAGGCTTATAAATAATTCCTACCCTTTGTCCCTGCTCGTCCTCCAATTGCACTCCCAAGTTTGATTTTTGACCAAATTGCCAACCAAAGTTGGGGGCGCAATTGAGGACAGATACGGACAGGCGGGGTGGAAGGGTCAGGGGTAGAAACCGCTATGGAGTTGAATGGAGCACCATTTAAATGTCATCTTGACATTGAAATCCAGTGTCAACAGAACCGGACGGGCTCTTGTTATGTTGTTATAGTAAAATGGGTAAGTTGATGGGTAGTGCAGACAAATGGGGCGTCGTACGAGGTGGAGACGGGAAGAAGGGACGGAGGGGTGTCAAATTTGACACTGGCGGATGATATGCCGGACATTGATGATTCCATCCAGACACTCAAGGACAAGTTCCTCAACAAAGGACTTTCCAATAAAGACCTTGTCCTCCTCAGCGGTAATTACTATATTTATTTCCATAATTTCTTTTTTTACCCTAATAATCTCTCTCATGAAAATTCTGTGGGATTCACTAAGAACTAAGTGGGTGGACAAGCCAGGTGATATGAACAAACTAAAACTAAACATTCCTTTAATTTCCACGTTCCAAACGCAGCCTTACCAGATGTGGAGTATAAATAATAAACAGATGGGAATAAAATTAAACGCCATATACATATAAAGTCCAGTAGCTTAGCTGGCTGGCTAGCTAATTCGTGTTGTTTTGAATTTTTTCCTCAAGAAGTTAATATTCGGGTTATTTTCGTCAGAGTTTTAATTTATTGTCACTCATACAGTTATAACAATAAATGATCCTAACACCATGTGATCATTATTATTTTTTAAAAAAAAAATGGGCCACAAAACCCGCTTATGTTTCACTTTCATTTCTTTATTAGTACTATTATTACTCTAGTATGTATCCCTTTGTCTAAAAAAGAAATTCTATTTAAAATAAAATTGTGTAATTGAGAGTGATACAAATGAGATATAAAGATGTTACGTCACACAGAATTTGTCAAAAATGAAAAAAAGAGTCATTTTTTAGACATTCCGAGAAAAAAAATGATGAATATTTTTCTGGGACGGAGCGATTAACATTTTTGGCAAAGTAACGTTTTGGGGGGGGGGGTGGGGGGAATTGGATGACGACTAGGGTGCATGGGTGCCAATTGTCACAACAGTTCATGAATGTGTTGGGTTGCATGCAAGAGGGACCCTTGAAAATGACTAAAGTGTGTTTAGCATTTATTCACGATCGAGAAATACTAGAGTCACAAACATTTCGGTCACAAAATACACAAACTTACTATTTGTGTATTTAAATGATTACTTTTTAATTATTCAACATCATTTTATTCATTTAGTGAAGTGCACAAATGGCAAGGTTGTGTATTTTGTGACTGAAGTGTTTGTGACTCTAGCATTTCTCTTCACCATCACCAATATCTTCTTAACTCTGGCATTTCAATTCCCCCGACCGATCATCGCCAAAAATGAAAAATGTTTTACGGTTTAGTTTTCACATAGGTTTTATCCTTCTGTCAGGAAATGTTTTTCCTCTATTTATTTTCACTATTCTTCTTATGTTTGTATAGTATACCCGCTAGTTATGTTGCCTCGGGTTTATAGGTCTTTTCACTTTTTATTGATAAATTTGACTATTAATTAAATTAAATTTATATGTATTACATATTGATATAAAAAGTTATTTTGTCTGTCTTGTAAAGATTTTCAAAATTATAGGTTAAGGTCAATCTCTATTGACTATAAAAAAGGTTAAAAGTGTACAAATATTCTAGGACGGAACGAGTAAAATTTATTTTTAAATTTTATATTTATAATCAAATAAATTGAACTGAAAATTTTAATTTCAGTCTTGTAAATAAACCATAAGGGGAAAAGACTAAATTAGAAGTAAAACATAGAAAATGTACTAAAATAAGAATTCCATCTTTTATTTTTAAAAGAATAAGTTCCATAATTGGTCCTTTATAAAAGGGGGTTTTCCTATTTAGTCATCTATTAACAAATATTACCCCAGTGGTCTTTCTTGTATGGATGTCTTTCCACAAATAGTCCTTTTTTATCTTCTATCATGTTAGAGTTAATTTGCAGGCTAAAAGTATAATTTACAATGATAATATACCTTTTTTGTCATACAAAATTTCAAAGGTTGTTCTATTTGCGTCGTTTGTGAATTACATTCACTTTCTATTACAACCATAGTCTACAAATGTGGTCTTCCGTCAGAATTCTAGCCCACAATCATAGTCATTAGTTTTGTGTTATCCGCTTAACCAATATCAGAACACGTCACTAGACATAATTAATGTTGATGTCCAATTATACTTTTAGCCTTTAAATTAACACTTACATGAAGGAAGATCAAAAAAGAACCATTTGTGGAAAGACACCCTTAAAAAAGGACAACGAGGTAATATTTGATAATAGAAGACTAAATATGAAAACCACCATGTTATAAATAACCAATTATGGAATTTACTCTTTTTAAAATAAGGGTTACATATGCAAATACAAAGTCAATCATGTCAATATATAATACCAAAACATATTACTAAATATCTTGTAAAGAGTCACATAATCACAATGCAAATTATTATTTTTTAGATGAAAATATAGAATTTTTATTTTAATACTTTTTTTATGTTTTAATTTATTCTTATTTAAGGTAATTTCTTAAACAAGAATGAGAAGAATAATATGGACCGTGGAAGTAATACTCCTACTCCCTCCGTCTCACTTTAGATTACAATATTTCCTTTTTGTTGAAATTAAGGAAGAGTCAAATCAAAATTTTTTTCCCAAATTACCCCCAGATCCCCGAAGTATCCTTCTCACTCACATGTATGAATAGTGTGTGAATAGTGTAGGAGTGGGAGGGTAAAAAAGTCAATTCCTTGTAAAGTTATTGACTTTGTAATTCTTTTTGGGATAAAGATGTGAGGGAATATTTTTATCTATTTAGGGACATAGGGAGTATAAAATAAATTAAAATAAAACAAAATAAGTGTACAATTTTTTAACATGCTCCGAATGAGTAAATGTACGGAGTAAATGAGTAATTCTTTTGGAACGTATAAATTCTGAGAAATGAGTCATGCTAGAATAACAGTCTTGTTTGGAGATGACGTTTCAGATATAACTTTAGAAATATTTGCACTAAATAGCACTAAAACTTAAGTCATTTCTTTAAATGACACTTAAACTGTTTTATTCTCTAAATAATACTTAATAATGTTCATAATGTTCAGTGATGACGAATATTTATTTGAATAATGACTAATGCATAATGACTAAAAGTGTTATATTAGAAAGAAAAACACATGTAGTGCTATTTAAGGAAAGTCATTATGTTTTAGTGCTATTTAAGTAAATTCTCCATAACTTTAATACTATAGATTAGTTTTAAAATGTCAAAACTAAATGTAATATTTACAAAAAATTAATCTACAATGAAGTCAAATAGGTCCAAGAACACACATTATAAAAATTCTTTATAAATTTGTAGATACACAAGGTATAATAATTTGTGAATACATGGACTTCACAAACAATTATATTGTGTGTGTCGAAATTTACAAACAATTATTACTTGCGATGCCAGAGAATAGCTATCTACTCGGTAATATCTATGATAGAGGTATAATATGTCTTGTTCTAACATTTTTTAATAAAAATTATGTGGTACGAATTGTTCTTTGATAGAGAGTATTTTTTAAGGTAAGTAGTCATAATTAAATAAATTTTTTGAACGAAAATTACTCTTCTTTTTTTGATAATTACTCAATTATACTCCGTAATTCAACTATGCTAGGAGTGCTCCAAAAGTGTACCTAAATTGTATCTCAAAGAAATGTACAAATATTTAAATAATTAGTTGTCTCCAAACAATTTTTTAGATAAAAATTGAGTACAAAATGTCCGTACATGCTTTTGGAATATAAATAGCTTAATCCATTGTTATATAGTCATATTTGAATAATTAGTTGTCTCCAAATGAATTTCAGCTGCGCACACGATTGGAACCACAGCGTGCTTCTTCATGACCAAGCGCCTCTACAGCTTCTCCCCGAACGGCGGCGGATCCGATCCGGCGATCAATCCGTCGTTTCTCGACGAGCTAAAGGCCAAGTGCCCGGAGAACGGCGACGTCAACGTCCGTCTGCCCATTGACCACGGCAGCGGTCAGACGTTCGACACCCAAATACTGCAGAACATCCGGACCGGGTTCACGGTCCTACAGTCCGACGCCCGGTTGTACGAGGACTCGTCTACGAGGAATGTGGTGGATTCTTACTTCGGGTTTTTACCGTTTCTGGGGCCCTCTTTTGAGACGGAGTTTGGAAATGCGATGGTAAAAATGGGGAGAATCGGCGTGCTTACCGGCTCTCAAGGTACAATTAGGCGGGTTTGTGGATCTTTTAGTTGAGAATTAATTACTGTGTGATCATACCAAAATCCAAAATATGTATACACACACTTATTATTTTATTTTTACATGTACAAAACAGTTCAGCTCTTTTAAAAAGATTTGTCTCTTAGAGCATGAACAATGGTAAGACAAAAATGGAATGCCACACGGTGAAATGGAACATTTTAACCAATCAAAAATAGTCCAGTCAGCGTGTGGCAAGTGAATGGAGTGGCAAGTTCTACAATGGCAAGTCATTATTTTTTATCACCTTTTTATAATTTTTTATGTTTTTTAAACATAAAAAAATATTTTTATTATTTATTTTATTAAAAAATTATTCTACTTTTTTGTACATTTTTTTCATAAAAAATTTTAAAAAAATTTATTTAAAAAAAATAAAAAAAGAAGGATGGAGTGCCACACTCATGCCTCACAAAGCAAGGCATTTTAGCCTTGTCATGCTATGATATGTGTGGAAGAAGCTGATGTGGCAGTGCATGGCATGCCTCTTCCTTGCCATTGCACATGTTCTTACAACTTCATTTTTTTCATTTTGACTTTTGTACGCAATGTTTTTAAAGTTTGACCACAAATTATATAAAAAAAATTGAATTGTGATTTAAATTTAAAAGTGAAACTATACTAAAATACATTTAATGAAATTAGGTGGAATATGTTAAATTAGATGGATGAGATATAATAAATGAAAGGAAGTGTGGGTAATCGTAGTATTTTAAATGTTAAAAAAATATAATGAGAAGATTTTTCGTGGACAAACTGATAAATCTGGCAGACAGAGGGAGTATTATGTTTGGGTTGAGAGTGTTGAAGATCAGATATATTATCTCTGTCTCACAAATTCTTTCACATTTTCTTTTTTTTTTTGTGTGTCACAATTTTTTTCACGCATAATATCTTACTTTTACACATCAATGTAGAGAAGTCAATCTAAAAATCTCTTATATAAGAACCAAAACATATAAGAACACTTTGTGGGAGCTGAGCGCGAGGAAGAAAGTATTAATTAATTTGATAAGGATATGAATATGAAGTAGGTAAAATGGGTCTGGTTTTGGAGGGAAGGAGAAACAACATAGAGGTTCGTTGCAAGAAGTGGTGGGAAAAAATAATAAATGCCACATAAAAGTGAATGAAAAAAGAAGAAGAAAGAGCTGGAAATTACAGTCAACGGCTCGATGCTTCGAAGAATGAATTGGCAAGCTGTAAACAGCAAACCGACAATGAGTGGAATCAACTAAAGCAAGATTTCGAGTAGTTGTTGTTTTTGAGTCTCTCGTTAGCGTTGTGGATAAATTTTTAACGGTGTAAATTATTTTGAAAACGTTAAACGCTGTCCGTCAAAAAACTTTTTGAAACGCTAACGCAAATCTCTAACGCTATTATCAAAAAGATTCAAATTATCGTGTGGCAAATAGTGTTTAAAAGCAATAATTAAGCAAAGAATCATTAATTAGTGTTTAATACACCTGCTGCGTACACTTTCTCTTTCGTCCATATCGCATTTACATCATCGCCCTACTCACCGCTTGTGCTCAATTGCTGCAATGGTCTTTGCCCTCCATCTCGCCAAAAAAAGTACTTGTACCTAGACCTGGCAAAAAATGACCCGACCTGTTTTTGACCCGAAACCTGACCTGAAAACACTGGGTTTTGAACAATGGTTTTGATGACCGAACCCGAAATGACCCGCTAAAAATGGGTCAAACCCGACCGAACCCGAACCCGACCTGACCGACCCGCTAAAGTAAGAATTTTTCAAAATCATACACTTTACTACTCGTTTTTAGTGTACAAATTTATATTTGCAGAGAAAATTTTAATGATATTGCATAATTATCTTACTTTTTTCCAAAACTTAAGCATTTTTAAATTCCTTATATTGATTTATATATCTAAAAAATTACTTCAGAGNTATTTATTTAATAGAAAATGTAAGTGGTAATGTGAATTTAAAAATTTTAAAAATCAAAGTTATAACCCGTTGGGTCGACCCGAACCCGACGATACTGGGTCATAAACATACAGTTCTCAACCCGAACCCGAAATAACCCGAACTTGAAGTGACCGAACCCGAACCCGACCTGACCGACCGATTTGCCAGCTCTACTTGTACCTACTTGCGGTAATATATATAATGGCAATGCCCAAAAGTCAACAGGTGGTGTAAAATATGGTGAAATAAAAAAAAATCAATCCTATCCTACAAATTCACCAATCAATCCTATCCTACAAATTCACACCATCCCTCTCTTACTGGTAATAATTTAGTGTCAAATTTGATGGGTTTCATGTATTTTCTCGAAAACAAAAGGTGAAAAGCTTATAAAGGTAGTTGTCAAGTTTATTGTACCAATATTCATGCTATTAGTGTCATATACTCCCTCCGTCCCATGAAACCTTCTCCTTTCTTTTTTCATTCATCCCATAAAACACTTCTCATTTTTATTTTTATTAAAAAGTTACTTTTACCCCTTACTTTTTCATACCCTACCTATCACATCATACCTTTTTACTAATAATCTATCCATCAAATCATACTTTTACCCATCACATCAAAGGACATTTTTGGAAATTCAATACCAAAATACACTCCCCTTAAATCCCTCCTAAAAAGCAAAAGTCTCATGTTTCATGAAACGGAGGAGTACATAATAAATTTCTCACTCATATAGTTATGGAATAATATTTTTTTAAAAATGGCCAATGATTTTAACTTAATTTTGATGTAAAACTTAGTGGGTTTCTACAAATTTTAAAGATGACAATGTTTGATGCACCTTAAGTGCATATCAATTTTGAATAGTAAAACATGCTTATTTTACTCATATGTAGGTGCATGACGAGCCTAAGGTCCACCATCCAATTCCCCTATCATATTGCGTTAAAGGCTCTCCTGCCCATTAGGACATCCGGTATGGATGCCGAAAGGGGAATAGGAAGGTGTCACGTGGCCGGTGGTTGGAAGGAGGGGAACACTACCCCCTCCCGCGAGAAGGGGAAGAACCTAAGGGGATGTCCACCCCACTCACTCCGCTTCAATTTTCTTCTTAACTTTTTTTTTTAACTTTTTTTCGCTGCCTTTACTTAGTCCTGCCTACATGTTTCTCTTCCCTCTCTCCTTCTCCTCTTCCTTCTACTCTTCTCGTCCCACAACCCATCTTCCCTTTCGTAGACCATATATACCGTGTAGCATTACTGGGTAATGTCATAATGGTTGGTTCAAAATTAATCAAGCTGCTGAAGAGTAGTGTATATGATTTCACCTTTAAAATAAATATAAATTAAAAAAATAGAACAAGAAAACAAAGAAAATGAAAATAGAAACGAAAGGGAAATAGTTTTAAAACTTTGAGTTTTTTCATTTGATTTTGTTAAAACTTCTTTGATTATATATACTGATTACGGAATACAATTGGAGATTGGAATTTTGGGATCAGAGTAAATTCGAGCTAGGTTTGAACTCCCAGTGGCGAGCCACAAGACAAGAAAAAAACATCAAACGAAACTCACAAAATGTGGGGCCATGCAGTTGCATTTGAGGGGAGGGTGTTGGAACTTGGAAGGTTTAGTTTCTCTCACCTTAGAAAAGAAACAAAAATAGGTCTAATGTATAAATCTAATTGCATCTTCTCTTATCACTAATTAATTTTAGAGAAAAAATTTAAACCAAGAGTAAAGACTTGTTCTCTTCAATCAGATGTAATCCCTATAAAAATAAGTAATTAATAATAAAAATAACTTGAAGTGAACATGCCAATAGACTTGAAGTGAACATGCCAATAACTTGTAGTATTATGTATGGACATTTCACAAATTATTGGTATTATATACTGGCATGATTGACATTGTATGTGCACTTTAACTCATGTTTTAATAATAACAATGTGAAACTTTCTTATGGTATACTCCGTATTTTCTATGTTTACTCAAACTTTAGTTTTTTCTACTATTTTACTCTTAGCTTAGACTTCCAGCTTTTATAAGAGAACTTATAATCTTACATCGACAAAAATGACAGCAGCACGTGAGACTAATAGTTTTGGTGTACCGACGATCATCCGTTCGTGAAACTGATGATTCCTACTCCACTAAACATCGCACCCATCAATTTCACCTTGCCCCCACCCAGACCCCAACACCTCACCTAGATCACCGATTTGGGGCCCTAATCGGCGATCTTGGGGGGGGGGGTGCACGGAGGGCTGGGGACAAGATGAAATTGGTGGTCCAAGGATTTAGAAAATATGTTAGGTGATAGAAACCATCAATTTTACAAATGAAGCAGAATATGTGTTTTTTATAATCAAAGCTTTTATTTGCTGTAAAAAAAATTGTACTCCATAGTTTTTTATTTTAGGCACAAAATTGCTTTGGACACAACCGAATAACTGCTAAAATCAAAATTTTAGGAGAAGAAAAGTGGTAGTAGTACTATCAGCTACAAGTCTACAACACAGTTCAGTAGAGCTCGAATGGGACACGGGAACTCAAAACCGGGCTCCGACGACTCTTCCTCCAACAGCGCCACCAGGTCGTCCCGCGCTGCAAAATTCCGCCAACGCCTCCACCTTCATCGCCACCACTTCCGCCACAGCCGTAAAGGCTCCTCTTCCGATTCTGGTTCTCACCTCTCTAAACTCCTCAAGGAAGATGATTTCGCCGGCATCGCTTGTCTCCGTCTCGTTAACGTACCTTCCCTATCGCATACTGTGAAATCATTATTCATACGCCAATTATCCAGATACACGACCTCTTTCTGTCTATTTACATAAACAGTAGTTCTGATTTTTTTTGTTTTGCTTGTGAAGGCGGAGATGAAATTCAAGGACAAATGGCTTGCTTGTATTTCACTTGGTCTGCAAACTTTCCGCACTCATATATCTGACCAGTTAAGTAGCTATTCCAGTATAATCATGGCAGCCCAATTTGAATTTGTGAAATCTCAAATGTTGTACCAGAGTGCACAATTGCACATTTGTGATTCAGTAAATGAATGAGATTTGATCTATAAATAGACTGATTGCATTTAACACTTCAAATTTGATGGATTCTGGGACAGAGTATGTGATATGAGTAACGCTATAACTTTCTTGGTGTTGAGTTCAGTTTTTCCTCACGCACACATTGATGTACTGTTTTGTGTTTGATTTACAGAACTGACAAGCCTACATGGAACTCGGTAAGTTACCATGTGTATATATGATGAACTTCCGTTTTCCGTGCTATACTTGTGAAAGTCCATATTTGATATTCATATCAAATGTTCCCCTTTATTGACATGATTTTAGACATTCCTTCTAGGAGAGGAAACTTCTTTTAGAGAGAAATGGGGCACATATTGCCAGAATCTCTGTGTTCGAGGTGTGTACGTATCACTTGCGTGCATGTTTTAATTATAAGTTTTGGACCATTTAGGCCATCTCAGATGCTCACAGAATCACGTTAAAAGGAAATTTATTTTTGTATGTTACTACACCTTAGTCGTTGAATAGATTCACTTATTTATGATAATGCACTTTCATTTTGTAATTTGGAACTTGGAAGTGCCAAGTGTTATGGAGTATATAATAATCAATGATCAGTACATACTTAATGAGGTAAAATGAAAGGAGGGCAGAACTTTATGTAATATAGTCGCTTGGCTGATATTTTATGTGACACAGACGAACAAGTTATCCAAGAACAATTTGGTTGGTTATTGCGAGGTTGATCTGCTTGAATACCTTTCCCAGGTGAGATGCACCTGTTTTTGTTTGGTCACTAAGATTAGTTTGTATGTATATTACTCAAACAAAAAGGAAAGTAAATAGTTCTGATAGGTGAGTGCATACGCTCATTGATACAATCTTTTCACTGTCTTACCCTTTTATTTCTTCTTCACCTACTTCCCGTTCTTTACACTTTTCTTGTAGGTAGGAAGAGAGGGGAGTATTAGTAGTTATTTTGTTCTTATTTGATGACAGTATGCCAATGTTATCCCATGCAAGTTTACCCTCCTACCCCCCATATCTCTTACCACTTACATTTCTTGTTACTCTTTTGGCATTTATTTTTAATAAAGATATTCTCTCGCAGGACTCTGATTCTGATGTTGAGGTCTTGGACTTATGGGACCCATCGACCCCATCTGTTGTTGTTGGCTCTATATCTATTTCATGCTCTATTGAGGTGCATAATTCTAGATTACACATTTTTTTTTTGTTTTGGGTAAGGAGAATGTCTCTCTGACCTTTTCTTATCTTCTTTCATTGTTTTGACATTCTGATCCGTATTAAACTATTTGCAGGATCCAGTTGATACAGAGAAAAGTTTTACAAAGCGCATCTTGTCTATAGTGGTGTGTCATTATCACTACCTGACTTGTGCTGTCATAAATCCACAAGAACTTACATGAACTGTTTGTTCCTGTTCTTTGCTTTGCACATGCCTAAATCTTAATATAGATATTATGATTTTATAATTGAACTGTGACATGCTTAATATAAAAAGTGTTGTGTTAAATGATGGTGAGTTAAACTAAAATTTTCCTGCTGCTCCATTCTGGGGCTTTCTACCCTAATATTATGGGGTGCTACGAAGTTATTAGTTATTACTGAAAATAGTCTTTTTGCTGTCTTTAGGACTATAATGACGATGGTGAGCTTTCATTGAAGGAGTTTTCTGATTTAATTGATGCGTTTGGTAATCAATTGGCTGCTGAAAAGGTTTGTATTTAACTAGTTTTAACCATACTTGCTAGACATCATATACTGGATGCAATGCTCAAAAGTGGAACATTAAATGCCACATGTATAATTGATAACTGTTCGATCTGCCTAATATTTCATTCCTCTATTTTTCTATCAGAAAGAAGAGCTATTCAGACAGGCTGATAAAAATGGAGATGGTGTTGTCAACCTGGATGAGTTGGCTATGCTTTTGACTGCACATCAAGAAAAGTAAGGGCATAATTAAAACTTGTGATATTTGTATTTTACCTTTACCTTGCATGTTTTGCCCTTGTTTCGGAACAACGTTTTTGATCAGCATTAGTGTTTTGGATAAAATATTAATGGTGTAGATTAACTTTGAAAATGCTAAAGCTAAACACTATCAATAGATAGCTTTTTCAAAACGCTAACTCTAACCTCTGATGTTATTGCCAAACAAGCCCTTTATAAGGTTAGGATAGAATACTTTCCGAACTTTGATGTTTCTTTTATAATTACTTCTACGAGTTATATCAAAAAATAGGCAGTAGGTCATGGGCTATGCTTGCCTAATCTAATCAGTTTTGTTGTTGAAATAATTTGTCTTTTAGAAGCTTTATCTTTTGCTCATTGAATCTTGAACTTGTATTTTTTTTCCTTCTTGCAGGGAGCCACTGATTAACTGCTGCCCCGTTTGCGGCGAAGTTCTGGAAATACCTGATATGTTGAATAGTATGATTCATTTGTCACTGTGCTTTGACGAAGGAACTGGAAATCAAATTATGACGGGAGGGTTTCTCACTGATAAGCAGGCTTCCAGTGGGTTAGAACATTATATTTCTGCTTATGTCTAGAACTTGTTAAAGTTGCTTGTTGTTATGACATAACACCTTAAAGGTTTTTGGTTTGTGTTGTACATATGTGCATAACTTTGTTTTAGATGGATGTTCAAACTGACTGAATGGGTACATTTCTCAACATATGAGGTTGGTTTGAGGTCTGGTTCCAGTGCATCACATATACTGGTATGTGCTCCATTGCTCTCTGTTTCTCTAATCCCTACAATGCTACAAGAACCAATATTTGTTCTATGGCCTATAAGAACTGTGTATCCAAGCAAGGAGGATTTTGTTTCAGATGAAGCCAAATATTCACTATTTTTTGGCTTTGGGGTATGATGGAATAAAGCAAAATGACTCTTTAAATTGCCAACGCTTCTTTTATAGTGAAGTAGCAGTTAGTCCATGCAACTTTCGACGCTCATCATGGGTCACCGGGAAACAACCGCTCTATGTTTGAAACATGACGGTTGTGTACATCCGAACCCTCTTACCCAGTTACCCCACAATGGGGGGGGGGGGGGGGGGG